TGTTCATTACTATATCACCAACAAATAAAGTAACAATGGCTGGCACATGGCTTATTTAGTGAACAAATAAATTAATGCTCTGTCAAAAATGGCACCCATACCACACTGGAAGGTTCCAATTGATCACAATAACCACAATTTGTACATTTTTCAAAGTTTATGTTGAATAGTATAACATAATACATGGTTAGAAATGCATCTAGATCTTTGCTTATTTTCTTTTCTTGGATCTTAACATAGTCCCTCATACATATTAATGATAATTTATGTATTCCTTGAATGAAGTTTACTGTGCATTCTATCACCCAACTACTTTTAAGATTTTCATTACATACTCTCTCCAATTCAAGATAGTTTAAATGTAACCAAATTACTTCAAATATCATCTGAGATTATTAAAAAGAAGTTATATGTCTATTTTTATTTATCCTCATGTTCATATTTATTTGCTACACTATTTGAGAGTAAATTTTAGGCATTCATTATTTCTCAAGTAAAATCAATTGTAATTGTAATTTCATTGAAAACCAGGGCTAGATGAAACTTTATAGGCAATAAATCTTGTTTTCGGCTCAAATAATCTTCACAGAATCACAAGTAAATATCATTCAACTTTCATTTAAATATCCTCTAGATATGTGAAATTCACTAAGGCTTGATTCATCTCTCACTTCATCTGCCTGTGGTTCTACATGTTATAATTATTTATAAACAATTTCCTATTTATGGTCTGCTTTTGTTTCTCATTGTTAACTCTGCAACATAATTACAAATTCTTGTTATATTTCCATCCATGTGTTTTTCTACATCTTTAGAAAATGGTGAGCCTTTTTGTTCTTACCTTATTGTCTAAGTTTTAAGTAGAATTAATTCAGTTTTATGTTTAAACTGTTATATACAGACAAATATGTTTATTGTATTTATGCCAAGGTAGACTCTCCATATGCCATCTGAGTTCTCATTGGTACTTCTTCTACTGTCTTGGAATGAAGAAAAAAACAAAAACAAACACAACTTTCTTAACTAAGACAGCCTTTCAGATATATGGAAACAACTGTTAGTCCCATTTACATTCGCTTTTAATCTAATTACCACAAAAATGTCTAACACTTGATTTAATCTCTTTAACATCTTGAATTCCTTTTTATTTAAGCCTTCAAGACTATCCTGCTGCTACCAACCCATATCATTCAAAGATGCTAATCAACACACTGAGATAAGACAAAACAAACAAAACAAAACCCTGCATTTTTATAGACCTTGTCACTTTTTTCCTAGAGGATTAATCACCTCTATTTTACAGAATGGGAAACATATTAATAAGATATTAGATGTTTTAAGATATTAGGCAATACTTTAGAAACATCCATGAAGTTAAATATTGGTTTGCAAATTATCTGTCCATTTCCTGGAAGTGATCTTAGTGATCACACATTCCAATTCTCCATCTTAACAAGAAAGATTCTGAGATCTATCCTAAAAAGATGACATAAATTTTCAGAGTCAAAAACATAGTGGTACATCATAAATAAATCCTAGACTAGTAGAATTTCTTTTTAAGCAATCTCAGATGGTATTTAAAGTAATTGGTTGAATTTGTACTCTCTTGAATTGGAGAGAGTATGTAATGAAAATCTCAAAAAATAGTTGGTTAACAGAATGCACAAAAACTTGATTCGAGGAATATATAAATTATCATTAATGTGCATCAGGGTCTATGTGAAGATCCAAGAAAAAGATTAAGCAAAGAGCCAGTCCCATTTCATGCTCAACATGAACTTTGAAAAATGTAGAAATTGGGATATTGTGACCAAATTGGAACCTTCTCGTGTGGCATAGATGCCATTGTTAACGAAGTGTTCTTTTATTTTTCATTAAATAAGCCATATCTGGGCATCATTACTTTATGTGCTAGGGATATAGAAATGAACAAATGTGAATTTCTCCTCTTGTGGATTTATAGCTCAGTGGGGGTGCCACACAAGTGACAAATAAATATGCCAAATTTGTAATAGATGCTATGATCAAAGAAGAATAAAGCAAGTTAGAGGGAGGGGGATGGTAAAAATAAGACCCCACTTTTTTGAACTCCCTTTTATTGATAAGGTCATATTTGAGCAGAGATAGGAAGCAACTGAGGGAATAAGAAAAAACAGCATGAATGAATGTCTCGATGCTGGAGCACGCCTACAATGGTCCAGGAACAGTGAAAACATGGGCATCAGGCATAGATAAAGTAAAGGGGAGAGCTGGTAGGAGACGAGGCCAAATGTGTGATGGATCTGAAGTTGGAGAGAATGGTAGCATTTGGCACCTCATGAAGAGCCTTAAAAGCTAAAGCACTTGCTCTTCATGATATGGAAGGTCATTGAGGAGTCTTGAATAGAGGAATTATGTTTGATTTACATCAAGATCATTATGACTGCTTCGTAGGGATAGAGGGTATTAGAAATGCTGCAATAATAAAGCATGCAACATTGACTTGCTGTGTGACATAGGAACAAATTAACATGTCCACATTTCAGTAGCCATATCTGTAAAAATGGAGATATTGACACCCTAAGATAACTGACCAGAGTGTTGTAAAAACTGACTTGAATAATACATGTGATCTCATAGTTTAAACTACAGCTTAAATTTCGAAAAGGTGAGGACAAAGGCCTAATTGAGCCGAAAAGGAAAACAGTCATATGGGAAACACTGTAACCTCCATTGGAAGCATCTGTGTATTTTTACTGTGTAAAATTACATTATTTTGGGTGGGAAAACTCATAAGTAAATGGATATCTACTTAGGGCAACACTTTCAAGCTAGTCTCAAGTGTTTATACATTTAATATTTATTTAACAAGCAATCTATAGCTAGTTAATTAGATAGCATGCTTAATATCTCATTTTCTTTAGTTGTATGGGTAAATGGTAATTAAATTCCTGAGCATTTCTCACAAGTGTAATGTAATAATAAGAACACCATCACACACTTATTGGTTCTGCAGATTTGAATTAATTACATTGCAAGTAGATTTATCTTTCATATATTTATACCTCAATAGGTGCTCTTCCCTGACAATCATAGGGGATTTAATTTCCATACTATCACCTTATTAATTCTAAATTAAATATGTTTAGTAGGAGTTTAATACTTGTTGAAGCTCTAGTTGGTGATATTTCTTCTACACATCTGGATTTTGAATTTTAGTGTCTGAAATTCATGTTGCCTTATGCTGCTAAGAAAAGAGCAGGGGCAATTAATAAGGCAATAAGAAAGACTACAAAATTTAATTTGGAGACAAGCCAAGTAGTGTGCTACTAAGCAGTGATTCTTCAGCATTTTGGGGGGCATAGCTGGCTGTTTGGTAAACCAATTTTCTTCCTACCTCTGACCATGTCTATTTTTTTTCTTTTTAAAATAATGTATATATTTTTATTCATTCTCACACCTTTTCTCCCTTCCCCCTGAGGTCGCTGCCTTCATTCTAAGCCCATCCTCTCTCCCCTGGACAGATTTAATGGCCTTTTTCTTGTATATCACATAGCAAGTCTAGCCTTCTTCCATCCATTTCCCATACAGACACTAGAATGATCTTCCACTTGTGGACTCATGAATTTGTTACTCTTCTTCTGGAATGCCAGAATATTTTCCAAATGTTTTACAATGACATGTTACATCTTGCTTAAAACTGCAATCTCATTCTTCACTTTTGTTCCCATTACTTTCAAAACTTAACTGTTACAGAAAACTCCCACCTATGCACCAGTGCTTCTGTCTGCTTAGACTTCCCTTCCCTATTCTGGCTAATTCTAACTCATGTCTCAAAACTCAAATGTACGTTGATTGAATGAAGAAAAGACATTTGTGTTCACCTTGAATTACCGAATGCCAAGTGTATGTGTACTGCCAAGTCTATGTGATTTTTGTTTGTTTGTTTGTTTGTTTGTTTTAATGGGTGTTGTTGACCTGTTACCTAATTGGTCACTCCCCTTAAACTCAGAAACTTCCATATAAAAGTTTTTTTTTTTCCCATTTATTTATTTTATTGCATTTTAGGTTTTGGGGTACATGTGAAGAGCATGCAAAATTGTTGCATAGGTACACACGTGGCAGTGTGATTTGCTGCCTTCCTCCCCATCACCTACATCTGGCATTTCTCCCCTTGCTATCTCTCCCCAGCTCCCCACCCCCCACTGTCCCTCCCCTATTTCCCCCCAACTGACCCCAGTGTGTAGTGCTCCCCTCCCTGTGCCCATGTGTTCTCATTGTTCAACACCCACCTATGAGTGAGAACATGCGGTGTTTGATCTTCTGCTCTTCTGTCAGCTTGCTGAGAATGATGGTTTCCAGGTTCATCCATGTCCCTACAAAGGACCGTATATAAAAGTTTAATAAATTTATGTAATAATCATTTACTAAGTACCTATGGATTACTACAAACTATGTGTGCCAGATGCTGGAGAAAACATGCATCATGTTTTAGAAAGGAAACAACGCCCAACTTCACATGCAAGAATCATGATAAGGTTAATTCCATACAGACCACAGGGTAGTGGCCAAGAGCAAAGACTCTGGAATCATACTTCTGAAAAAGAAGCTGAAATTCTTCATCAAAAGTGAAAGCAGAAGAGCACTTAGGGGCACTATGAGGAACAAATAAAACAATTCAGGTAAACCACCTGGATTACGTATTTACACAAGCTATTTGGAAAGTGCCGGACTCAACCATCTGATGATTTTAGAAAGTATTATATTTTTATTTATTTAAATAATTACACATGTCAATGCTCATATAATCAGTTTTTATTATGATGAACACTTTGCTAATAATGTAGATTCAAAAACAAAGGCTCAGTGACTTTTTCCAATGCAAATAGTGTATAGCAAAGATAAAGTGCCTGTCCTTTTATTTATCAATAAATAATAAATGCATAGGATAAGCAAAGAAATAAAAAATATGAATAATTGAGAGCCTGCAGTTTCATTAATAAATGATACATTTTTCCCAGGTTGGCAAAAATTTATTTTTTATTTGATGATATTGATGATTCTCATATTCTGAAAATTTGGGAGAAAATTGCAGTTAGATATTTCAAAAGGAATAACTGTAAAACAAATGATAATTTATAAGCATGTATATACACATGGCTAATTCATGAATTTTTGCAAGAATTCAGAGAATCAGAGGCCTGAAGGGCCAGGAGAGAGAAAAGAGGCAAGATTTGCTATTGGTAAGTTTTGTCGATATTGTACATAGTCCTTTGCAATCTTAAAATAATTTTCTCAAGGATTATTACATTTAACACTAAGGTTTGGTAGGAAAGGTAAGGACTTGTTCTGCAGTAAATAAGGAAACAGAAACAGACAGTGGGAAAGCAACTCACCAAAAGTCACAGATATAGTGGCAGCACTTGGGGCTACAACTCTGAATTTCTTTTATTTAAAATGGGGCTCTTTTCCCTTCACCATTGCTGGGCCTTTCCTCCCGCTTCCTCCCAAGTTCTTTGGAAAGTGTCAATTTTGGCCATCTGCTGAGTTTGAGAAATATTTTGTTTCCACAAATTTAAATAGTTTAAGTAGTAAGACTCTGTTGTCTTGGCTTTTATTAAAGAAATTATTCAGAATTCAACAAAAACAACAAGAAAACCCCATTTATACTTTAAAAAGTAGTTAACAGGTGTTTTATCATCTATTACAAAAAGACTCTGTGTGCTCAGCTGACAAATTTGTCATTGGGAGAGGCAATTCTGGCATTGGTGTGCAGAATTACGATGTTCAACTTGTGCCTCCATAACTTAAAGTCTCTTTAAGATCAGGAAGAGTCCTCTTCTCATGGCCACTCTGTCCCTTTCAATTATTGCAGAGCTTCAGTCTCTTCTCATTTTAGCCCTTCTCTAATGTTTTATTTAGTTTCCTTGATTTGGGCTAATATTTGCATTCTCTCTCTCCAACACAAATTTTTTGGTTCATTCGACCTTCCCTCACCTCTAAATCATAGCTGGCTCACAGTATTTCCTCTAAGCCTATTCTTGCCTTCTCTTTTCTGCAGCTTCTGCTCTTTCTAAATTCCCTTTCCCTCCTAGTCATCCTTACTCCTGTACTTCTGTGATGAGGCAAGATGTATCCATATGTTAATTGCTTTGGGTATTGAGAATGGGTTGAGTGGGAGGAATGGTTTTTGGCCCTGTCAGTCTTGTGATTATAATCAATGAAATGCTAGATATACCAATCACATCCTTGATGTAATCTATTTAGGTTTTCTGTCATTCTTCTTCATAGATCCTACACTCCAAGTACTCTGAATGTGCATCTGCATTTTCAGTCAGTGGTTCTCAAATGTGCATCAGAATCACCAGGTGGGTTTGCTAAAATACAGATTGCTGGGCCTTTCCCCCAGATGTTCTTCTTCAGTACACTTGGGTGGGATCTCAGATTTTATTTCTCACAAATTTCTAGAAGATGCGAATGCTGCTGGTCCAGGGGACTGCATTTTGAGAACCACTGTTTTGACCTCTATTGCCTCTGCAACTTATGCTCCCCATCTGAAATACCTTTGAACTCCGTTTAAACACTTTCAAATAAACACATGGACTGACACACATTAAAATGCTTCCTTCACGCATCTGTCTAGTATTTACTGAGATTTTACTCTGTGCCAGACACTGAGTTTGGCCTATAGCCTCAGGGAAAATAGATTACCAACCAAGTCATTCTTAAATCTCTTCAGCTAGAAAGAATTGACATCTATTCTCATAAAGTGACAACCATCCCCTCTTACCTCACAACTCAAAGAGCTGTCCTTGTATCAGAATGATTGGCATCATTTTGAAACTGATAGAAATTCAGAGTCTCAGACCCCAACTTAGATCTACAAAATCAGAATCTGCATTTTATCAGTGTCCTAGTTGATCCATATGCAGATTAGAGTTTGAGAAGTATTACTTTTCTATACTATCAACTCTTTCAGGTAAAAAATCTAACTATGAATCTCCAAAAATGCTTATCAAATGTCTGACCTGTGATGGAAGGGGAAAGCATGGAGAAGCAGGCAAATAATCATTGCTATTTTGTCCAGATTTACTTAGTGTATGCAAAGCTTTATTCAGCACAGAGTTTGATGCAAGCTCATTTTATCTTTACAACAGAAAATGACTAATGACTACTTGTTTCAAATTAAATTGATTTCTCTTGAGTTTGTCATGGGATAAAAGCAAACTGCAAGCAACCCATCAAAATGGTAGAAAAGGCAGAAAATATCGAAAATTCTTCTGCAAAAGACATGGTTTTGAAACATACTTGATTCTCTTAAGAAGCATAGTGATTATGAGTATTAATAGCCATTATTTACTAAGCAGTATGTTAAACACAGGTGTTTTATATGATAGGGTTTTATTGTTAGTTTATTGAGAGAAATGTTATTATTTTTGCTACTTGTTAAAAATCAAAGTGAAATGACACAGTCAGGATCTTGCTTAATTTGAAAAGTTAAATAATAAAATGGTCAAAATCTGAGTGCATCAAAGGAAATTTCACTAGCTTGACAGATCAATAGTTGGTATTATTTCAAACCTCTTGAAAATGTATGGCCAAAAGTAACATATTTTCCTCACTTACAGTTAGGTCCCATCTGACATCCCTGTAACAAAAGACAAATTAACAAGGGAAAAGCATAGAACATAGTTTAACAATGTTTTACATGATGCAGGAGCTTTCAGAGACGAAGACCTTAAGAACCAGAGAAAACTGTTTTTATGCTAATTATGAAGAAAGAAGTGAATAATTGTGGAGAAACATGATTGAACAAAAAAGTTATGATCCATGGTAATAAACTGGGGAGAGCTTAGCAAGGATGGTTTTCATTTTCAGATTCTTCTTGGCCTCTTTGTGCATTTCTTTCCTCCAGGTATAGGTAAAAACACCTGAAGTTCTTCAAAGGTGAAGGGAAAAAGTCAGAGAGTGACCTTTCTGTGTTTTATGGCTTGCACTGGGAGAGGAATTCTAGTTTTTATGACCCACCTTGGTAGAGAGGAATTCTGGTTTCTATGGCTAGATTTGGGGGAGAAAGAGCAGCAGGAGACAGAAAGGCAAGAGGAGGTCAGAGAAATCTTCTTGCTTCTGAGGCCCTCCTGTCTCCTTCAGCACAAAATACTCTGTGGTAACAGTTTCTGAGATCCAAAAAGAGACATCTGATTTTTAATATCTTATGAGATAAAATTTTATACAAAACTTTGATTGTAGACTATATTCCAAAAAATTTTATTAATCTTCTTGGGAATAAGATTCATGAAACACATGTAAATCATACCTATGTCTCCAGTATCGCTGTGAGAAGTAGAAAAGTCCGTTTCTAAAGCTTCCTTTCTTGTTAAAGAGTAAGTGTACTAATAACTTCATTAAGCCTTATCTTATGTAGCTGTTAGACATGCCATGCTTACAGGCACATAGTACATTCTATGTCCTTGTACGTTAACTAAAATATCTTTGCTGGACATGTTCACAGGCATGTCCCAGCTCTCCATCGCTTTTACCTGCTTAGAAAAGTTTTAAGTTCTTAGCCAGTCAAGTTTTATTAGATTGTGAGGTCTGACTCCAACCAACAGAGATTAGACACAGAAGTAAGGACAAACCCAAACGTGTAAGGGATAAATTTCTGTGTTTGCCTTTATTCATTGTACTCTAGTGGCAAAATGGCTAGCGAGAGTACCCTTCCTGCAGCCCAGGATGTAAAAATTGCATTGCTGAAAGAGCCCTTGTCTCAGTGATAAATTTTCTTTGTGGCACCAAGCATCTATTTCCAACAATCACCCAGTTCAATGGTTAGCAGTTCTTAATGGGAATGGGAGGGTGGTATTTACACCCCCCACTCCCCGAAGAGACGTATGATGATGTCTGGAAACATTTTTGGTAGTAACAACTGAGGGTGAAGTTGTACTGGTCTTCAGTAGATAGAAACCAAGAATATTGCTAAAATATTCTACAATGCACAGGATAGCCTTCCCCAGTTCTGAGTCTAAGGTACTGTGATCTAATTTAAAATATGGTACAGGCACAAGCCCGTAATCCCAGCACTTTAGGAGACTGAGGTGGACAGATCACCTAAGCTCAGGAGTTCAAGACCAGCCTGGCCAACATGGTGAAACCCCGTCTCTACTAAAAATACAAAAACTAGCTGGGTGTGGTGGCACACACCTATAATCCCAGCTACTCAGGAGGCTGAGGCAGCAGAATCACCTGAACCTGGGAGGTGGAGGTTTCAGTGAGCAAAGATCATGTCACTGCATGCCAGCCTGGGCAACAGAGCAAGACTCTATTTCAAAAAAAAAAAAAAATTATACAGAATATAATATAAATTAAAAAATTGGAGTGCAGAAATATAATTCAGAAAAATGTATGACATCAAAATAAATAGTTTGATTTGACCAAAGACAAGCAGATAAATTATAGAGTCATCACTGGAGCCCATTTTCTGGCTTAACAACTTATATTTTATCTGTGATGCAGCACATGTGCGTGCACACACACTACTTCTGACTGATAGTAATATTTTTTCATTGTGATATACCACTTCTCTTAATCAACAAACCAGGTGATTTCTGGAATCAGATGATTTGAGTATAACACCTGACTCAGCTACTTCGTAGTTTTGTGACTTCCAACGTCACAAAAAAAGTTCATGTTCACAGAAAAAGTTCTGTTCACAGAAAAAGTTAGAACAAGTTATCTAAGTTTTTCTCCCTCTCCTTGCCCTTCTCCTCTTTTCTTCTTCTTTTCATGAAATCATGGTCTACTAAATGAAAATAGTAATATTCAGTCCTGAGATCATCACTACAAATCATACCATAGTTTCTGGCACACAAAATAATGAACACTTATTGAGCGCTTACCTTATGCCATTTAATGTGGCCTGTGTATTGAACACGACTTATTCCTGGCTCACATCCTCTCAGTGAGCCTTTTAATTCAAGTCTTGGCTACAGCCAGCTGCATGTAGCAGCCTGAAAGTGCAAAAGATTTAAACAACCGTTGAACAGACTTTGAATTATAAGGAGTAAAATTATTAGTCAGTCTCTTGGGCAGAC